GATGCACACACACACAAAAATGTGGAAACAATGGTCTTACCTACTTTCCTATAACCCTTGACCCTTTGTGCCATAATCAACTATGTAAAGATGATCAAAATAAAAGAAAAAAATTTTCTGGCAGAGCTAAACAGAAATAAGCAAACTTACTCTCAGCAATTAAATATACTCTTATATAGACATATTAACATATATTGTCAGGAATGACTTACTTTGTCAAATTGATAGCTTATTTAGATTTTCTTTTCCTAATGAACTATTAGCTTTGTGAATTGTTCAACTGCTTTAATTTATCAGTGTTATGCAAGCTTTGTAATTTAGAAAGACCTCTGTAGGAAAAGCACTGTTAATCACTGGCTTGATTAACACTCTTATTTTGGGAATCTGCATTGTAAATGTACTAGACTATGACCTACTACTTATTTTTTTTAATTATTATTTGGAGATTCGCATGTGTGAGCTAAGCAAGGTTCTTTGGGACCTCTTTTAATAAGAGGCAGAGGAACGGAGAGGGAAAGAAAAGCAGATCTGGAGTCTTTCCTAGAGTGTTAGTATATCAAAGGGCTCCCTTAAGGACATTCAGTTGCTGTGTTTATGCTAGTTAGGTAAAGTTATTAAATTTGAAGCAGACATTTGGTGCAGTGGTTAAAACTCCACTCAGGATGCCAGTATCTCATAGCAGAATTTCTTGGGTCCTTGTCCAGGCTTCTGACGCCAGCTTCCTACTTCCATATACCCTAACAATCAGGTATCCTGGCACACGCTGTTCTCTTCTATATTTCTATCTCTGTAGACACAATTTTGAATATATCCGTTACTGGACCACACACTCTTTCTGAAGAAATACTCCTGGAGGTGGAATTTCTTCGTGCCACATAGCCGTTATACCTATGGCCACAGCCACCCATGGCCCTCACACATGTGGCTACACAGACACAGAGGGTTACAATCCTTTGCCAAAGTACAATAACTTGATGCTTAGATTTCCTTCCTTTTAGGTTGTTATGTGATTGGTTTTAATTGCATTCAGCAACCAAATGGAAGACGTACATGGAAAATGCTTAGTGCAGAGTAGACATTCAATAAATAGCTATTATACACTATTACCCATTTATACAGGATATATTTTTGTACTAATAGTTTATTCAATTACTTAAAACATGCTCACTTCCGTCACATACATCTTTTACCATCTTACCTCTTGTTTAGAACACTGTGGATAAAAGGCCCAAGATTTCCCATATTTAAGGTTGTTCCAACCATGTAGCGGGGCACCCGCACACCTGCGTGTTCATTAACTTGGAGTGCTATTGGTTTGTCTGTGCTTTGATGTAAATGGTTTTCTGAGAAATCAGCTCTAGAAATGAGTTCTTTTTCTTCACTAGTGTTCCTTCTTTTTCCTTCTTATCATCTGATGAGGTTGTACATCATGCAGCTTCTGCCCTCCTATGGACAGACTCACCATCTCAGGCATCAACTACAGAGCCGCTTCCTTCATTTTCTCCTCCCCTCCCCAGTTTAACTGCGCACTACCACTGATTTGATTATTTCTTTACTCAAGAAATCCCAGTGGCTTTCCATTAACTACACAAATACAGTAAGTCCAAACTTCCCTGCCTGCTGATCTGGCTCCAACCCCTATGCAATCTTACCTCCCACAAATCCCCAGCACGCCTCCATTGGGCACACTGTTTCTCATCTCAGTATTTCCCTTTCAGTCTCGCTCATTTTGTGGAGTTGGATTACATTGTCCACTTTTCTTGCTCCATGCAAATCCTATCATCCTCCATCAGCCAGCCAGTTTAAATAATTACCCTAGGGGAAGGACGTTCAGGGCCTTTCTTCACAGTTCTGCACACACTGATCTCCCATAGTGCAAATTGCCTCAGCCTTTTGTGGTTTTTCCATATTGCTTGCCTTGATAACCAGCACACCCTTAGGCAGGGACCATGTTTTGTTTTTCTCAACCTTGTTTTTTGTTTTCTGAACTCGTCTAAAGCAAATCTAACACATGGTCCATAATTTATGGTTACATTTTCTTCCAGGGACTCCATCAACCCTAGTAACTGTACAATACATTGACTCACTCTGGTTAGAGCCTTCCCACCAAATTCCCTCCAGCTACCTCAGGATAGCCCTCAAACTCTTCTCACCGGTAGCCTGCTTGAAACTTGATACTTTGCTTGACTTTCCTTCCCTTCGGGCAAGCTTCCCTATAAAATTCCAAACTGATTTCCACTACTGCTTCTCTTCACCTCACTAACCTAAATAAAGCCCAGCTTTTTGGTGGTCCTCTTCACTCCTGGGTACTTTTCCCTGGAGAACTTTCCTTTTTTCCTGGTCACCTGATTAAAAGTTAAAGTAGACTCTCAAACTTGTCCTTACTTGCCACTGCTGTTTCTACCCCTTCGAGCACTATTTTCTCTGCCTCCATTCACCATCGTTTTGTGGCATCTGTAAATTACATCAGCAACTGAGTAATAATCTCCTCACTCCAATTCCTCAACATCAGTAAATATTCCCAACATTAGCCCTTTATACCCATGCACTTTCAGTTCCCCTGTTTGTTGTGGACTTTTTTCACCTCTCCACAGCATCATGGCTTACCCCCAAACACTGAGAGTCCCCTGTGGGCTCTGTTTTAACTCTAAGCATCTCCAAATAGAAACACTTTACTCACTATTTTTTTCAGTGCCCCCACTACAGTGGCTCCCACCTCATTCACTTAATCCATACCTTTCACAAGTCTACTTGAAGTGTTGCTTGGCACTTGAGCCAGTACAATTCTAAAGATTCCTGGGCTTCATCCAGTGCACAGACGGTTAATTCTCAATCTTAGCTATACTCAGAGAACTTGAAAAAAAAAAAAAAAGTAAGCCACACCTCATTTAACTGACCTGCATCTGCAGGTATCTAAGGATGTCTTTAAAAAGTCTCCAGGGAACTCTGCAACAAAGGTGGGAACTGTACTCCAGGTGGAGATGGAGCAATCACAGCTTCAGCATGCTCCCAGGGTGACCCCGGGGCGGTCTCGCTCCCCACCACTGTGCCCCCCCAACAGTGAACTCCCTTCCCACTTGGTGATTCTAGATCAACGCTGGGATGCTCTTTCTAGCATTCCCGCTCTCCCACCCCTTCATCCTTCTTTAAGTGTCAGAAGGATACAGCCTAGATCCTTTCACTTTAACAAGGGTCTTCACAATCTGGCCACCTAAGAGCTTTTGAAATTGTTTCAACACTCTCAGAAATGTGTTATGATAATTTTTTTAAGTCACTATTGTAGGACTACTTAAACTTAGTCATACACTCAATTTAGACAGGCAAACATAGCAGTTAACTTGGGGGTAAAAAGGAAGAATCATGAAAATGCCTCAAAGAAAAAGCTACTGATGGCAACTCAGCTCATAAGCAAACCTTCAGCCACTAGCATCCTTCCCTGCATGCCCCTCAAAGGCAGGACCGTGCCCACCTCCTGGTAAACACACTCACCGGCTCCAGTTCCCCTGGTTTGCTTGGTCTCTGCGAGGACCAAACGCATATTTTCTTGACTTTGGCTGTTCATTGGCAAAACCATATATATTTTGCCATAAGTTTAGTTATAAATTAGATATTTTTACAAGTTTCATTTTAAAAAACAGTACTGACACTGATCGACCTTGTAAGACCTGAAAAATTGCTCACAGGGTCTTCAAGCTTTTCTACTCACCCTCACCCTCTCCTACTCCACCCTGTATCTTTTCAAAGTTTAACTCAAGATTTAAGAGAAAGGAAACTTCTTGGGAACAGCATGGCTAGGAGTTCAAATCCATACACTATGGCTAGTTAGCATCAGCTCTGACAGCTGAGGTACGAGCAGCAGGAACTAAGTCCACAGGCAGCGGGTGACTGGTTATCAACCACCACAGCTCCAATTCAGCCATCAACCACAGCTACACTTGGAAACATGTGTCACTGCTGTCCTCCGTTGGCTATCCTGATTCAGCTGAAAGGAGCTTTGTGTTAACCATCTCCAGTTATCACAGCTCTTAGACATTTCTGAAAAACCCACAGAATCAAAACATTATTCCAATGCTAATACTTTCAGGAAGAGTGCGCTATTTTGGTTGAAGCTCTTAGTCATTTCAGAGGGAGGTTTGAAGAAATGAGTTCCAAGGAGGAATAAAGAAAGGGCATCATGTTCACTAAACTTTTACTATTGTGTCACGTACTGCTGCCTGACGAGTCATGATCTTTAAATACGGCAAAGCAAACTTTGAGAAAGTATTTAAGTACTGTGTCAAAAATCGGAAAAAGCAGGGGAGGAGCAAGAGACCCGTCTCATGACATCATCTGGCAATAAATGGGAGTGTGGAGCCCGAGAGCGCTCTCCAAGTCACCATTTCGAAAATCCAGCCCTGTCAAGCTTAGAGAACTTGAGTTTCAATGTTCAAAAAGGTTCAGAATCCTCACCCCACGTCGTCACTTGCCTGTACCATGGGAGAAATAAAATCAGCTCCGAAGCATCTACCTCCCACTCCCCCCGAAAGGTCACAATTAAGTGGAAACGCGCTGCTGAGCCCAGCCAAGCCGAAGGGGGCAGGAGGCGAAATGAAGCGAGGAATCTCCGCGCCTCCAAGGCAAGCTCCTCCGTGGAAATCCCACTCCGCTCTCCTGATCCCGTCCCAACTCCCAGATGCGGGTCATCCCCTTAGAGGGACGAGGGGTGGCGGCGAGGGGGCAGCCCATCCCCGGAAAATGGCATAAAAGCACCCAGTGGAACGGGCCACCCCCGAGCTTCCCCGAGCGTGGAAGGCGCAGCTCGCCAAGTGTTCCAAGGGGGCTGTCCATGCGGCACAACTCTTCTGTATCAACCCAAAGAAGGGGGCCTGGGTGCATACGCTGCCCCAGCAGCCCAGGGTCCCTGGAAGCCGCGGGGACCCTCAGTGCCGCCCCTCGCCAGGCAGCCCTCTCTGCTGACACCCGCCGTCGGGGCTCCCCCTGGGCCCCCGCCCCGCACCTACCGCAGTCGCGCCGGCTCTGGCGGGGGACCCGATGGGCGGCAGCTTCTCGCGATCGGGCTCTTTTCCTTTTCTCTCTTCTGGCGCGGCCGCCGCTCCTGCGGGCGGCGCGGCGGGCGACGGCACCCGAGCCGCTTCGCTCATGTCGGGCCGGGCGGCAGGAGCGCGGAGCGGCGGCGGCCCGGCGGCTGCGGCTGGGGCTGCTGCGGCTGGGGCTGCGGCTGCCGAGGCCGGCTGGCTGGCGCTGCTGCCGCCGCGGCCGCGAGAGGGCTCTGGGCTGCCGCTCGCCACCGCGGCCGCCGCCGCTCCGCCCCCGCCGCGCTCGGCGCTGACGCCCGGCCCTCCCGCCGCCCCCGCCCGCGGACTCGGGCCACCTCCCCGTCGCCGCCGCCTGGGCCTAGCGTCAGCCTCCTACGCCTGGCGCGGGGCTCCTCCGACGGAAGGGCAGGGGCCGCCCGCCATCAGCTACTCCCGTTAACTCCAGGAGCCCGGAGAGGAAGCGCCGCGGCTGACGCCTGGAAGCCATGTTGTTTGCAGAGCTAGCCCCCCGAAATGACTGAAGGGGTACCTCGCGCCTGGACTGCGCGGGAGCCTGGCACTCCGGAGGAGAGAGGCCGGGCCTTCGCAGGGTCGCGCCACGGTAGAAAGGGCCTCCGGGGAGGTTCCCCCACCAAGCTTGCCCTGGCCTCAGGCGCCTGGGCTGGTGGGCGAGGACCCCCTTCTTTCTCCCTTTCTCCCCAGCGCCTACAGAGGCCTTGTGCTTTGCCTGAGTGACGGGGCAACGATGCTATGGGCCTCTCTCCCCCATTCCGCGGTAGGGCCGAACGGCCTGGCCACATTTTCCATTTCTGGGCCTCTCGTCCCCCTTTTGACTGCCAAAATCCGCCTCTCCCTTCCCGTCCCTGTTCGCCTACACTTCGTTCGCTCCCAGCACGCCTCCCTGTGCTGCCGCCTAGCCCTTCCTTTTTCCGTTCCGTTTATAAATTGCAGATGGACATGCCCAAACTCAGCTGCATAATCCGTCACAGCAGATCATTGTAAAAGGTGGGCAAGAACGTTCAAGCCGAAGACGAGAGGGAGCCTGAAGTCGTGATCTTAAAATACTCCCCCACTGCCACACACAATTTCCTTTCCTTTTCCCTCGCCCCCAGCTTTTCTCTTTCTCCTGGACTGGCGGGAGACACCTGCTGAGCCCCAAGAAGACAGCCAGGGTGAAGATGCTATTTTGTCTTTAAAAAAAAAAAAAGCATCTCGCACCATAAGCACCTTCAGATATTTAAATTGTGGCTTCCTTATTTTATTTGAGCTTGAATGAATTTTCAGGTCAATTTTCAGGTTACACAGAATCAAAGATGAATACAAAATCGTCTGAGACAAATCCAAAGATGATTTTCGGGTTTATCTATTGTTTTATATAATTCGGGGTTGTTAATGTAACTAAGTACCCAGTTATGGTGCATCATGAAATGATGTTGCACAGTTTTAAAAACCCAGAATTTTGTAACCAATCTGAAGCAAGCATTCTAATGACTACAATAATTGATGCTCAAAATCGCCTTCCGATTTGCAAAGTCTCACTTTCATTTATAGAAAGTCTTCCTGGTTTTAATATAGTTGCTATTGCCACCTATTTACTTATTAAGTAACAAAGGTATGAAGTAAGTGTCATATACTGCAGCAGAAAGTTATTCCAGCGCTAATTAGCCTCGGAGGGAAGTGATGTCTAAGGCATTACCAGGTAGCAGCCTCCTCCTTTCTGTTTCTGTTGACTTCTTTTCCAGGATTTTCTTTGCATCTTAAACGTCTGAAATACTCATCCCAAAGAAAGAACCCCATCTCATTGATTGCTGCCTGTAGCGGCTCAGTGATCTGATGTGATTGTTACAGCAACAGTCACATTCACTTTATAAAACGAAGCCTTTATTTTAACTGCAATTGGAAAGATTGTGTACTGCCAAGTCCAGGTTGATAGAACAAATACTGGGAGGGGAAGTATCCTCTTCATCTTGTTTCTGACAGAATTAGTGGTTTCTATAAAAATGCTTGGATCAGAAACCGCTTGGATTAGATGCCTTATGCTTTCTTTTTGCCTGTGTCAGACTAAATAAAAGTGTGTCTGTACATGTAGTCATATTCAGTAGAACAGAATGCTTAAATATTGGCAAAACAAGGCAAGTCAGACATTTTAATGTTTGCTACTGCACTAGAGTAGATAATAGCCCATTTTAAAACAAGTCCACTGATTAATTCACCTGGTGGTTCCATAGCAAAAATAATACTTCATTGATGTTAGCTTATACTTCCTGTTTCAATACATTATCTTCAGTTTATCACCCCTACTTCCTTCACCCCACTCCAGGATGGGCACTGAAGGGTGGGAGTAGCATCTACTGGAAGACCAGATAACGCTGAGAGAACTTGAGAAGTTCTTTCACAGGGTCCCCGCATGTTTCTGGAGGCCCAGGCGGGAGAAGAGGCTCATTGGGACAGCTGTGACCTTTCCGCACTGAAGTGTGGCATGGAGGTGTTCCAGCTGTGCCAAGCGTCAGGGCATCCAAGTGTGAACTCACAAGCCTTGAAGGAAAGGAGGAGCCGACAGGAGAAACATCTGCTCTTCCAAATCATAAGGGGCCACTCTGGGCTCATTAGTTATTCTTCTGAGCAGTAAGGTTTTGAGAGTGGGAGTGGGGCAAGAGAACTTGTTATCTGCACGGAAGAATAGGTAAGACCAAATTATGAAGTGATGGAATCTTTACATTATATACTTGTATATTAATTACAGTAATATTAATCCAGTGAACAATTGCAAACTAGATTCTGACAAGTCAGTTCAGAGTGGGTCATAACATTGTTAGAACTCCTCCTTGGATATACTCATTGTAGGTTTTAAAAGATTTCATGCCTTCCAGGTATTACCTGTTCTAGTTGTTACCAGACTGCCCTCTTCAAAATACAGATTTGTTTGCAATTCTTTTGTTTAAAAACACTTTTTTGTTTTTCAGTGCCTTGGTGTTAACATCTGAGCCCTCATTCATATGAGTTTAAATAAAAACTGATATATTTTTAAAAGGATTTATTCATTTTTATTGGAAAGTCAGATTTACAGAGAGAAGGAGAGACAAAGAGAAAAGGTCTTCCATCTGCTGGTTCACTCCCCAAGTGACCACAACGGCCAGAGCTGAGCCGATCCGAAACCAGAACTCTGGGTGTCCCACTAAGATCGGGGTCCCAAGACTGGGCTGTCCTCGACTGCCTTCCCAGGCGGCGAGCAGGGAGCTGGATGGGAAGTAGGGCAGCTGGGGCACAAACTATGCCCACATGGGCTCCCAGTGCATGTAAGGCAAGAACCTCTAGCCACTAGGCTATTGTGCCAGGCCCCAAATTGTGATTTGGGGGGGGGGTGGTAATATCCTAATTATAAAGATTTCTTTCACCTCCCAGATCATGTAGAGCATATTTATCTTTACATGCCCACTATATTACATCTTGGTTATTATTAATTAGTCATGGTATAAAGGAGGAATACCCTAATCACTCATTGGATGCCCCTGTGGCACACTCCTGGGGTGTCGGGTGTGCTGCTGAGCTACACAGTATGCTAAGAATTAAGAAACAACATTTTTTCTAAAATATTTGTTTGCAAATCAGAGTTAAACAGAGAGAGAGGGGGGAAAGGAGAGACAAAGAGGTCTTCCATCTATTGCTTCACTCCTCAAATGGTCATGATGGCCAGGGCTGGGCCAGGCCAAAGCCAGGAACCTAGAACTCAACCCAGGTCTCAGGTGGCTTTGAGACCCAAGCACCTGGGGCCGTCTGCCACTTCCATTGGCACATTAGCAGGCAGCAGAATTGAAAGTGAAGAAGCCTGGATATGAACAGACTTTCTTGATGTGGCTTGTACAGCAGCCATGAGATAATTTCTGAGAGGAATTATAGAAATGCCCCCCAAATAATGGACTGGATTGATTTAGACAAGTTGATACAGGCAGTTGTTCTCAAAAATATCTTCTGCGGAAGTGCTATAAATAGAGCTTCCCATAGGGGTGGAGATGTTCTGTGGGATGTATGCAAGCCAGCTTGTACCAAAATCACAATGGTAAGTCTACAAGGGCTCTGGTAGCAAGCTTAAAAGGTGAGAAAAAAAATTCTTCTTGTGGGAAACTGTGCTTCTCTTTTCGTATTATTTTCAGATTAGTTTGCATTTGTGTGTAAAACAAACTTCATTTAGCAATATCTTGTGTTAGCCTGGTGCTGTGGAGGAATGACCTAACCTGGAAGAAAATGTTAATGCAGTAGCAGTGACGATGGAGGTGGCTGTATGTTTAGAGGGCGGCTTTAGATGCTCTCTCTGAACATTTCCGGAGGAAGATATGTATGACTAAGCCATTGATAAACTTGGTAAATTTGCTACACAAACACCAGACGTGAAATCCAGGCAGTCTTGCTAGGAAATATTGGTAACTCTTTTAAACTGTAACTCTCACACCTGCAATTTTGCATTTACTCTCTACTTGTAAGATAAAAATAATAATAGCAAAACTAATAAATGCCTTCTCAGAACCATCCTTCACTTGATGTACTTCTTTAAAGCTTTCTTGAGCCTAAGTCAAAATCTGTCCTATAAGGTTGCTCAAGATATCAAAAACAATTAAAAATAGCAGGTACTACTTCTCATTCTTGTGTTTTGTGTCTCACTTCATTTGCAATGGCAATATGCTAAGTGAAAAGTGATTGATCTGGATGTTGTTGCAGTTGTGAATGGCCATATGACATAATGCTGGCTAATGAGATGCTAAGTCGCGCATTTTAGCGGGGAAGTTCTACCTTTATGGTGGGTGGAATGAGCATAAGACGTGTGGATTTGGTGCTGTGAGCTTGTAGTCATTAGGCTAAAAGCATGATGAGTAACAAGACAGTGCAGTGGAAAGACAAAAGCCATCTGCAACATTCTTGAGCTTGTGCAACTGCTACATTACTTTGAACTACCTCTGGATTTCTTGTTTTGTGAGACAAATTAGACCCTGTCTTGTTTTAATCCATATTTTTATAGTTGAAGCCAAACGTTCCGGTTACTCAATGTCCTATGTTAAACACATAATCCTATTATACCCAGAATATCTGCTCACTGTGAGGTCCTGTCGTGC